TGTCTCATAAGAGGTGAGTTTGCATGGCTGCTTTACTCTCAAATGGGTAAATAATGCATCCTCACTCCTTTCACTATCTACCTATTTAACAAAAACTCTATGAACTGAATATTTTATAATCACTATATTGGGCAGGTCAAAAGTTCAAAAATGATTGTGAAAAGACATGGATGAATAGAAAAATACACATTTGGAAAATGTTGTTCACTTAACCTGGAAAAAAATCTCGCAACTTTAAAAATAAAATAAAATCAAATCATCATTTGCTCTTAGTGTCACCCAAGTCTGACATAGAAAAGGGGTTGTTTTTAACCTTTATCCGTGGCAGAGTTAAGAACCTGCATTTTCCCCTTCATAGATTAGAAAGGAAGCAATTAAACAATAGAAAAGACAGTTTTCCAGCTTCCCATCAGAAATAGGACATGGTAGTAAGATTTGTTGCTGAATTTAGATTCCAGAGGAGCAGTGAGGTATCTAAATAGGATTTACCACTTTAGGAGAACAAGTGGAATTAGAAGCCTAACTCTTCCAACTGCATTTCTAAATCACTTTCAAGTTCTCATGTTCATGTTTTGATGCCTTTTAAAGATCCACCTTCTGTTCCCAGCAGTAGAATATTCTGATATTTCAAGCAGTAATTCTGAGAATAAGGGGCTACTTCGTGTTTGCGTAGGAAATGATTTTTCCATGAAACCAGAAGGAATGTATATACAGTTGGGCATATAGACTTTCAAGCACATCTTGATATTAATGTATACTCATAGAACAGACTATAAAGGAAAAAAATAAATCTGTTATTTCTTAGAAGTTTTGACATAAAATTCCCTAGTGAGTCAGAAGAAACTGTCCTGGTAACTTACAGTTTTATGACTCTTGTCAGTCTTGTGACACTCTTGTGTCTTCTGAATTTTTGAGATTCTGTTGCTTTTGGTATCTCAACCTGTTTTGCATGTGGGAAAATTAGCTTCGTAGTAGAAGAAAGATGTACATGTGTGTCTTGATGACTCTACATTAAACAAACGAACAAACTTTACAGGGCTTTCAGTGGTTTGCTCTATAACTATCCACAGGAAGAATGTCAGTGCAGTTCCAGCGGAGGAAAAGAGATGTAGCATTTCAAATGTCACTGTCAATACTGATTTAAGTGTATGTATATCACAAAAAAAAAAAAAAAAAAAAAAAAAGATTCTACTGACGCAACAACGATAGCTTACCTTGGAAAGGCCACCTTGTTGGTGACACTTTCCAAAGAAATAAAAAGGAGTTTCTCCAATGACTTGGGATCTTTTCGTAGGAATCAAATTAGCAGATACAGGTTTTCAGACACATGCAGATTATTTTCTCATTTCTATTTCTAAACATATTAGGTTTATTTTACAGAACAAAGCAGGTTTTAGGATGGGAAAAAGGGGGGGGGGGAGGGGGCTTTTATTATTATTATTATTTTATTTTGAATTAAAAAAATGATAAGGATAAAGAATCACGCACATTTCTTTCCCACAAGGTACAACATGCAGGATAAGAACTTCCTGAGAATTGCTTATATATTGCGTGTTCAGGTAAGACAAGACTACTGAAGTTCAGTGGAACTTCATCTTTTCTTCATAAACCACAGAAAGGAAAAGGTCACTTTGGTACTCATTATGTTCAGGAGATATTTAGAGTCTTTCTCTGGTGTAGGATTTAACACGAATTTGAGCTGTCTGCTTTTATTTTATTTTTTCTTTTGACTCAGAGCAGAGAGTAAAACTGAATGACAGGCTTTCTTCATCGTCACCTTCCTTCTTCCACATTTATATGGAACTTCCATATACTGGGACTAAGGCCATTTCAGGTCTCTTATGGATACTTTTCACTAAAAGTTGAGCTCTTTAATGAGTAATTTTGCCTTCATTTATTTCTTTTTTAATTCACTTGAGTGGTATAAAGAGATCAGATCTGCCTTTGTGGATGCCTCTAGGATTCAGAATGTTCTTTAAGCTCCTCAGTTCCTGTTGTTCAATGTATATTGCCCAAACTTCAAAATGTACAGCACTGGAGCATTGCCTTTAGCAGTGTGTTTCAAAAGCTATATTCAAGAAATACCATTTTTTATCTGCCACTTAAACAATGTAGTATATATAGATTACACCTTCATGTTTATACTATTCTCGATACTAGCACTATGTCAAATACAATCTGACACGGAAACACCAAGGCTCTTCAGCGTCTCTTTAGTGTCCTACATCTAGGGAGGAATAACTTCATGCACTGGTAAAGATTGGAGGGGTAGAACTTGTTCAGCCCAGAGAAAAGAAGATTTAGAGGGCATCTTATCTATGTATATAAATGTCTTAATGGAGGGTGTCAAGAAGATAAGGCCAGACTCTTCTCAGTAACACATAGCGCTAGGATGAGAGGCAATGGGCACAAACTGAAACACAGGAAATTCCATTTGAATACATGGAGAAACTTTCCCGTGAGGGTGACAGATTCTGGAACAGGTTGTTCAGAGAGGTTGTGGAGTCTTCTTCTCTGGAGATATTCAAAACCCGCCTAGATGCCTTCCTGTGCAATGTGTTCTAGGTGACCCTGCTTGAGGTTAGACTAGATGATCTGCAGAGGTCTCTTCCAGCCACTCTCTGACTCTATAAATGTAGTTTTAATACTCTTCTGTGTCATTTAGTCCCTCTCTGTCAGTGGCCTTTTAAGATTCACACCTTCCTTGTCCTTTATCACTTGAATATGCTTGTTTTGTGATAAAGATTCAGGGTGAAACAGCACCAGCAATGCACAATAAAGTCAGAGAAGAAAATGGTGAGTTTTTGTAGTGGGTGACCACTTATTGAGAGGCACCAAATCTGCTGGCCTAACATACAGTTGGATCTGTTGCCTGCCAGGAGCCAAGGTCCAGGATGTTGCAGAGAGATTGCCGCAACTGGCAGAAAGAACAGATTCTATCCTCTATTTCTTTTCCATGTGGGTACAAATGATCTTTTCAGTAATTAAAGGGCCTATATGAAAGCTGTAGAAGGACTCTTTATCAGGGAGTATAGCTATAGGACAAGAAGTAACAGTTTTAAACTAAAGAGGATAGATTTATATTGGATGTAAGGAAGAAATTCTTCAAGATGGTGAGGCACTGGAGCAGATTGCCCAGAGAAGTTTTAGGTGCCCCTCCCTGGAAATGTTCAAAGCCAGATTGGATGGGGATTTTAGGAAACTAGGAGTCCAGAAGAGGTCCACAAAGATGATACAGGGCCTGGAGCATCTTCCTTATGAAGAGAAGCTGAGAGACCTGTTCACCCTTGAGAAGAAAAGACTGAGAGGGGATCTTATCAATGTTTACAAATATCTTAAGTGTGGGAGATGGGGGGATTTGGCCAACCTCTTTTCAGTGGTTTGTGGGGACAGGACAAGGGGCAATGACCACAAAATGGATCACAGGAAGTTCTGCACCAACATGCAAAAGAACTTTATGGTGAGGGTGACAGAGCACTGGAACAGGCTGCCCAGGGAGGTTGTGGAGTCTCCTCTGAACCTATTCAAGGTAAATCTGGATGGCTATCTGGGCAACCTGCTCTGGGGAACCTGCTTTGGCAGGGGGGTTGGACCCGATGATCTCTTGAGGTCCCTTCCAACCCCTACAATTCTGTGATTCTGTGATTCAGAGATTTTGTGGGAGGTGTCCCTGCCCCTGGCAGGGGGATTGGAACTGGTACCTTTAAGGTTCCTTCCAACCCAAGCCATTCTGTGATTCTATGACTCTAAATAGTAGTAGTAATAATAATAATACTTTGATGACAAGATTTTCGCTGCCTCAGGAATTTGTGCAAGTAGCTTGGATCCAAGATTTTCCTCTTTCAAACTATTCAAATTCATTGCTGAAAAGATGCTTAACAATCTGACAATTAAGAAGTTAATTAGATTTGTTTTACTTTTGGTAAAGTTTCCCTGATACCATATACATACATACATTATATATATACATACATTATATATTTATATATATATATATATAAACCCATCAGCAAACAGCAATAACCTAAAATGCAATAACACACCAGGTCTTAATGTAAAGTTTAAATCCATTTATTTGTCTTGGCTGTTTGCTTAAGTGAATCTGACCTTCCATTCTTTCTGTCTAAAAATCTCCTGTTATTTATGTCATTATAGAGTATGGCATCCATATACCATTTTCTTCCTTATATGATTGGAACAAGCAAGTTAACAGTCACTGGTGCAGAAAATAAAAATAAATAATAAATAAATAAATAAAAGTTTTCTTCAGTTTTGGTGAATTCTTGAAAACGGACTTAAAATTTCTCTTCCCCCATTTACAGGAGACTTTTCTTTAAAAAATAACTAAAATTTCCCCCCGAATTTATTTGGTTCCACCATATTAACTGTTAAAGAAAAAAACTGATATCTACATGTATCCTTGTGTAATCTGTAACCAGTGATGAAGATAAATCCAGCTAACCCTTCACTTCACTGGGAAGATGAAATCCAAATACAGTAGCATCCAAATAATTATCAAGTCTAGCTGTGCTAGCAGGGTGCAATGTACAAGATTCAATTTTAACTAGAGATTACAGCCCAGCAACCTTGTAGCCCTGAATGTCAAACAGCCATGTCACCTCCTCCCATCAGGGAGTGTGTCAGGACTCACAGAGGCAGGGTGACTTTTTGCCAGCAGTAATGTATCTTGTATTTGAAAGAGTCAGGGAAAAAATGCCAGGCATTCTCTGGCCCATTTCTCCCCCTTCTTTTTCAGGTCAAAACAAGCACAGCCACTTCCCAGCATGATATTTCCTATTGCAACTCCTCCTCCCCTCCTCCAGTCCACCAAATTCAAACAAAGCACTCTGACAAGTGGGGTTCGTTCTGCAGCTCATACCAGGATGTGATGAGCCAACCAGGGGATGTTTTATGGTGTTTGCATGGCATGGATCAACTTTCCTCATCCTTGAGTAATAAAATCAAAAATGCAGGTAAATGCTGACCTTGTTGCCAGTGTGCATTTGGGCTGCTATCCAGCTGCTTTGGACTTGCCATTTGAATGCGTGTGTGTGCTGGCGTTTGTGCACACAGCTGTCTGTGGTTTGTTCACACAAGAGATTCTCACCTCCTCCTCCTCCTCCTCCTCCACATTTCTGCAAAAGGGAAGAGCTGTGTTAGGAGTACAGATACACCAGACTAAGCCCAGTGTGACTAAGTTACTCTGGGTTTAGCTTTTTAGACCCAAATTCTGTGACTCTGTGAAACTGGACCTGCAGATTGTGGAAGGAGCCAGGTGAGCCAATGGTTGTTGCTGAATATTTTAGGTCTAGTTCTTCTGAGTTTCATATTTACACTGTTAAATGTTTTTTGAAAATCTATTTGCAAACTCTGCAACAGATGAGGGGTGGGGGAAGGGGAGGGGGATGGAGTGGGGGAGGGGAAGGGGAAGGTTTTTAAATTTTGTTTTTGGTTGTATTTGGTATTTTTCATCCACCCTTGATGCTTAGCAGGACTGGAAGAAGCTAATTGTTTTACATCTTAACACGATGCCTTTCCAAGTGCAACTTCACTGTATGCAACTGCTTAAAGCATTTAAATATGCTTTCTGTGTGCATGGTTCTCTGCTTCAGTGTCCTCCTTTGACTGCCTTTTCCTAGCCTCATTCTTTAACGCAAAGAACATTTGCAATTAAAATAGAATTTCTACTTCTTAACAGTTCATCTGTCCCTGCTGCTCATTTCCCCACCTGAAGTCACAATCCTCCACTTGTGACCTCACTGCAGGTTACTGTGGTGAGAGGATTATGATGTTGCAAATAGAGGTTTATAACTTCAGGAAGAGAATGAGCAGTCCTAGCAGATGGACGCCTCTGAAATGAAGATCCTGTCTTCATGTAAATGTTGTGAACAATAAAAAAGCGAGAGGGAAAAACGGCAGAAATTAAAAAAGCAGGATTGTTTCTAAATACAGAACATAATTATTAGTTCTACCATTCCTTATTTGTAGCAGGGTTAATGGGCCAGACCCTGCAAATAGTCGGGGTAGTTCAGAGAAGTGACCAGGATTTTCACAGATTTTTACAAAAAAAAAAAAAAAAAAAAAAAAAAATATATATATATATATATATATATATATATATATATATATATATAACAGGCTGCTATTATATGTCCCTTAGTAGTGCTGGTGTCTGCTATTTTGTGTGACACTATATTTAAATAAGGGTGGTCCATGGAAAGGACAATAGCGCAAGTCCTTATAGCCTGAAATAAGAACCAATTACCACAATCAGGAACTGTAACTAGCTCACATATTTTTTAGTTCAGGCTCACAGAGGGTTGCTTAGACGTGAGTGACGCTGGCAGTGAGGACTGTTCTGGAAGAGCTGTAGGGCAGGTTTCTCATAACAGGGTACACTTTCTGGTGAAGCACTTTTTAAAGATTTTTTTCCATCATTCTGTGAGGAGTTTGAGGTAAAGGTACACAGCTTTACTCAGCTTGATGCAGGTGCCTGATGCAATGCAGCTGATACCTATTTGGTGGTACCATAGAAGGTTCATTAACACAACACTGAACCTGAAGAGAATTACACAGAATCACAGAATTTCTAGGTTGGAAGAGACCTCAAGATCATAGAGTCCAACCTCACAGCTAACAGTCCCCACTAAACCATATCCCTAAGCTCTACATCTAAACGTCTTTTAAAGACTTCCAGGGATGGTGACTCCACCACTTCCCTGGGCAGCCTGTTCCAGTGTCTAACAACCCTTTTGGTAAAGAAGTTCTTCCTAACATCTAACCTAAAACTCCCCTGGCGCAACTTTAGCCCGTTCCCCCTCGTCCTGTAACCAGGCACGTGGGAGAACAGGCCAACCCCCACTTCACTACAACCTCCTTTAAGGTATCTGTAGAGAGCAATAAGGTCGCCCCTGAGCCTCCTTTTCTCCAGGCTGAACAAGCCCAGCTCCCTCAGCCGCTCCTCGTGGGACTTGTTCTCCAGCCATCTCTTCAATACCTGAAGCAGAAAGGATGGTTTTCTGTTATAGTCCCCTCTTGTGTCTAATTTTGAGCACTCTTTGCTATGTTCCTGGTGTGAATATATCTTCCTTTTACCCAGTGTACTTCCTCATTATGCATTTGAGCATTTCTCTATCTAAGCAGCAGGCCAGCAAACATCTTTTAGGGAATCCCACCACTGTACAGAATAGCGGTCACCAAACCCAGCAGCTGTTTGTTGCCATACTCCTGCAACCCTCAATTCTCCCTAGCATGTTAAGAATTTCAAAAACACTGTTATCGTCACACTCAAGGAGCAAACTTCTCAGTTTTCTTACTTCCTAGCACACAAAACCTGGTAAGCTATATATGAAGAGGTGTGAAACCGTTCTGAAGTCAGACTAATCATAACACAGTTTTGGCATAGATCTACAGCTGTCTCTGTGACCCATGGCTCCACAGAAGCCATAGCTCAATGGCAGTTCCCTGACTGTGTCGACACATGGGAGCATGGAGCAAGAATTGCAGATATGTGAAGTACTGTCCACATTTGTGTGATGTATGACAGGAGTCAGACACTTCAGTCTTTCTTGCGATGTCTGCCTGAGTATCTCTGTTTTCAGCTGATTCAGTTTCATGATGGTGAAGTACTCATAACCCTTGGAGATGCAGGAATGGTAAACAGTCAAAGTCAAAGCTTCACAGTTAAAGAAGAAATTGGTGAAGGAACAGAGACTTGAATTCCAGCTCTGGACAAGTGCTTCACTTTGTCTTCATCTTCAATTGCTTTTACATACATTTTGTGCAGAACATTGATCCAAAAATGTGGAGCTCTCATTGATAAAAACAATAGTGAGACAAGATTCTTGTTTTAAAAAAGCTCTTCATAAAATGTAAATTTGACAAAGTGATAACTGTTGTGTATTCATCATCCATATGAAATCAATTTATATATGTCTTCAATCTCCCTCCTGTGAGGATTATGGTTTTTGAAGAAAATAATATTTGATTTCACCTCTTTGCCTCAAGCAGGTAAGTGATTGATATTATTGAAACAATTCTGAAGATCCTGAAGGGAAGAAGAGGAGGCATGTCTCCTGGATTTATAGAGATGTTGAAAACCAAGTTTATTGCTTTAAATAAGCATGCCCAACATGTCTATTAAATTAATGTTTATACATCTATCCTTTCTTAAATTGTCAGTCAGTTGCTTGGACAATGATAGACTTCTGGGAGGGTGCCAGACTATGAGAGAACACAAGATCATCCTTCTTGCATTCAAACATGACATGAAGCAATGTCTTAAATACACAAATAAATAAATAAATAAACAGTAGATAACCCCACTAAATGTAACTCTAAAGGGAAAGATTGAAAGTAAAATAAATCTGAGAGAAACACTGGGAATGAGAATGTCAAAAAGCTTTGGACAAAACTTCAAGACACATAGCTTCCACTGCTGAAGTAGTATGATTTGTCAGTATTCATGACACTATCATTGGATATATCAAAGACTGTGTTAGAAACATGCTTGCTACAAAGGAAACACTGGATGTGTTTCCCTGAAAAGCAATGGCAATGTCACAAAAGAGCTTGTCAGAGATTGCAAAGGGAAATGCCAGCAACAGTTTCGTAAATATAATGATTCCATCAGTACATCGGAGAGACAAGCAATAAAAATGATCAGGGTAGTGCTGGTCACACCATTTTATGTAGATAACGTGCTATGAATTTATCCTTAAAATAATAATAATAATAATAATAATAATAATAATAATAAATAAAATCCCTTTCAAACTGGTAGTGATTGCTATGAAATTGTTATTATTCATTGAGCTTATGGACAGGAAGGTGCAGTAGATCAACCGATTTGACCTCGAAAGAATTATGGATTATTATAACAGTATTTTGTGGCTTTATCCAAGTTCAGAGTTTTTTTGGGGTCTATCTATATTGATAAACACTTGCTGGGCCAATGACTTTGCAAACAAACTGGATAAAATATGAGAGATGGAATAGCGCAGATTGGTAACAGATTCCAGCCTGGTCACATTTTCTGACTCAAAAGCTAGTACATCACACTTGGGATTCTATCACACCTTTATCTGCAGATAGTCATCAGTGACCACTGACATCACAATTCTTTTGCTTATTCAAGGGATATTTAAGAGTGTGTGTGTGTGTGTGTGTGTGAAAAGGAAAATGGAAGGGAAGGGAAGGGAAGAAGGAATGTTGATTTTCTGCATTAAAGATGACTCAGTGGAAAGCAAAAGTTGCTTTCCAAGACACTTTCCAGGTTGTTTTCCAGGAAACTTTAAATAGACATTAGCTTCTTCAGTGAATTGAGATGGATAGAATTCAATTTCTGCTTCTTTGTTGTTGTTGTTGTTGTTGTATTTTCATCTCCAAAGTTTGACCAGCTAGTACTGCTTAACCCATAGTTATTTCCTGCCCAGATAACTCTGAGGTATGGCCTTCTACTCAGTAGTCAACTGATATGTTAGTAGAAAACAATAATTGTATACTCTAATTTTCATTTTTATTTCTTAAGGGGTACTTCCAGATACAGGCAGAAGTTCCACTCTGCTGCAAACTGGATTCATCTTACTGATGAATCTGACCAGCTCTTCTGAGTGTTAGATTGTTCAAAAAGGGTCACTTACAGAGCTGACAAGAAAAATAAGTCCAATGCTGTGAATTTAGATATTGACACTAGAAGCTATAAAGTCCAGTCAAAGTAAATGAACATAAGTTTTCATCATTTATTTATTTAAGTACCAGTTGCAATGAATGAAGAGCTTCCAATTGTATGACTGCAAAATCAAGCCATGTGGAAAAGGTATTTTTTTTAGAATCACAGAAATATCAGATCATTTAGGTTGAACAAGACCCTTAAGATCAAGTTCAATTATTACCTGAACACTACCAAGTCCAACACTAAAGCAGGTCTCCACATGCCATGACCACATTTGAACTAAAGAACTTCATTCATTGACTACGAAATAAACTCCTGTTCTCTACATATTCCCTCACCCTCCAAACTTGAGGAACACTACAATATTGAGGATCATTGGCCCACCTTGTCATCTGCTAGACATGACGCTTCAGACCGTTTCTGCCCAGCATGAATTCAATCCTGTTTTCTTAGCATGGTAGAAAATTGAGCCAGATGAGAATCAAAAAACTGTCTATAAATTTATTCCATTCAAAACTGAAAACTGTACTGAAAAAGACAGACATTTCTTTGTGCTATAGGACATAATGTAGGTAGGAATAAAACAAACAACAACAGCAACAAAATGCATGGTGATATAATGTTTTCCAAATATTGCACAAGGCTGGAAATCATGTGTATGTGCTCACACGTGTTTAGAAGGAAAGACAAATGAAGAATCTTCACTGGGAGGAGTTTTGTTTATCAGAAAAATCATAAAATGTTGGGTGAATGAAAAGAATCAGCTTCAGTTATGTTTTCTGTCCTTGATGACTGTAGTTCTTTAATTTCAGGCATTACCTGGGGTTGAGACATGATATGAGGAACTCTTTTGTTCCTTCCAAGAGGTATCTTTCCTCCTCTCCCGTGAGAGATGCTGCACAGGCTGGTTAAAGGCAGTCACCCTGCCAAAGATGTGGCAGGAAAGGGGCTGCTTATTTAGCATTTAAAATACAAAGGCTATGCTTCCCTCTTAAGCAAAAAAAAAAGAATTGATCACCAATAGTGAGTAAACAGCGTTTAGCCACAGCACACAGACCTTGAGGGATTTATGAGCAGCTACAAGCTCACCTCTTGACTTCAGTTGGAAACTGGGCTGTTTCTCTGAGTTGCAGACTCTGACCAGTAATGTCCTGTGCAAATGAATTTAGAGATTTTCTCAGCTTGTATTCATACTCTACAAAGGAAAAATATCCCCCAATTGCACCTACTTGTAGCTGAATTATCGACTTCAGCTTTGAAGTGCAAATGAGCTGAATGAAAACATACTTAGACTGCAACATAGTAGCTATTTCTACTAGCTGATTTATGGTGCATTAACTGTCTAGTAAGGAAAGCCTTCTATTGCTATGGATTTGTAATCCCCCAGTCCAATTATCCTGAAGATGAAGGCAAAATGCCATCCACTGTATGAGGCGATCAATAGTGGTCATTTCTTAAAATTCTTTACTTCCCCTGCTTTCCAGCAATCCAGGTTACAGGATCTTCCATAAATTGCTCTTTCATGGTTTATCAGCCCTGCTGTTTTTAAAAGCCAGACTTATGGACTATGGTTACAAAAATAAACTGCTAGAAACAACCTTTCAGTAGATTAAAACTATCAGTATTTATGGTGATGCAAACTCCCTTAGAAACTTCTAATCACCATAATCTGTCTATATAAAAGTAACCTCTGACTAAATAAATATTCCAGGAAGAGAAAATAAAGATAATACAAAGTCCCTGCTCCTGCCCCTCCCACCCCCCTCCCAAAAAAAAAAAAAAAAAAAAAAAAAAAAAAAAAAAAGCCTAATTATTGAAGTCCCAAATGTTTTAATGACCTTTTATAAAATAATTAATTAAATACCTGAAGTCACACCATATGAACAATTCAATCCCCCAGTTCTCCTTCAAAGTTCTTCTGCAAGTGTTCACTAAAGGGCATTATGTCTTTCTGTAATATGATGTAATCTGAACGAAAAGAAGTGCCCTGTTATTTTCCAAAACATCTCATCCTAGTTTTGTCTTCTGTCTCCAGATATTTATTTGTAGAAAACTTTATTCTCCCTCTCACCATTTTTCTCATGTAATATTAACTCTTTTGGACACTTCTCAGAATGTCTGACACGGACACAGTGTTCAGTTTATTTGAAAAATACTGTATATCCGTAGAAAACATTGGATTTATTTGTCGTATGTGTGTATTTCTGTTTATATCTAATAAAGTAAGCTCTCTCTTGTTTTAGGGATACCTAAATAAAGATACAACAATTCAAATTCATGCCATAGAGATATGCTTGCAAGGTGAGTATCTTCACCAGAGGAAGAAACCCTCAGCATTTATATCTAGTAGAGATCTAACTAGATCTAACAGGCATTGGAGTTCAGAATGGGGTCCGTCTCATCCTCTAATGAATGTTTAATGTGTCAAATATATAATGTATGCCCTTCCCAAATTACTCTTTTAATCTGTTAAGTATTTAAACGATGAGTAATGGATGCTTGCAATGGTGGTATCTACCTTGTACTTATCTGAAATTAGGTAAAAATTAATTCCAGCCTTTGTGTCGAAAGGAGGACAGCTACAACTCAAGAATCACTGTAAACATTCATTCTGTTTTCCGAAGCAATATCAGTGTCATGGTTGGATGATGAACTACCAAGGAGTCTCAGCCTTTTGAAAGATGCTACTCTTCTTTCAAAGGTGATTTGAGTTCATAAAATGGTCATAGCCTCCATTATTGAAATTCAAACAGGTGAGATTACTGTTCTATCTAGAAAGAGAAATAATTGTACGTAATTTGGGTGACAATTTAATTATCCTGATCTTTTCCAGAAATGGAAATGACCTGTGTTTGTTAGAACCTAGATAAATCAGCGCCACACATCACACTAAATTTTAGCTGTCCTAGTTCTATGCGGAATTCTTTAGAAACTTTGCACACTATGAATTCAGGAGTAAGCACTGGATAACTAACTATATATTTTTTTTAATGTTTTATTTTTTATTCTATCAATCAAGGTATATTGAAAGCTCTCATTAACTTAATGTGGAAATTTCTTAAATTCATGTAACTCATTGATGAACTAAGGAAAAAACTACTTTATAGATTAAGAACTATGGCTCCGAATAACTGTGCCTGTTTATCCAAGGTCATCCAGGAGATCTGGACTTGCTTCTGGCATCAAATTCTGCCATCCTGAATCCTTCCAGTACTGACTGCCCTCATATTTAAGTCACCCAAGAATCACAGAGATATGTGAAATTCAAATTTCTTAAAGTGATTTTTACATTGCCTTTGGAAATATATTATTCTGTTTGGGATCAGTCCAGAACAAATTATGTAGGTACAATAGAAATACAGCTATCCCATTTCCAGGAGAATTTTTTATCTGCACTGCTCTATAAAGCTTTAGCCTAACTTCAAAGTTCAGATGTTACTTTGTAAAGGCAGAATTAATTTTCTTGATTGCTAATCCATCACCACTAAGTATGATGCATATGGTATCAAACATAGGTATTTCTGCTATCATTAATTGTGGCACATTGTCACAACCGATAAGGAAATGCAATATGAGAACAAGAAAACAGTCGCTGGATTTGGCAGCTTACCCTTGTTTTTCTAGTAACCATGGCAGGTACCAACTGAAACCCTTAACTCAGGAGGGTGACTGTGTGAATAAACGAGGAAAAGAAACTCAGGACTTGGAAAACATCAATCATTCAGATGTGTAGTCTCACACTCAGTTTGCAGTGTTGTTGTTCAGTGAAAGATAAAGACGGCTAGGTCTGAAGGAAAAAAAAAAAAAAAAGTTCTGTAAATTTCGTAATGCTGAAGAGTGAAGGTGTAACTTTTGGTCCTGAGGACTTTGCTAGAGAAAAGGAGAGGCGGTGACACAGAGGATGAGAGAAGGAAATTAACATGTGCTTGATAAAAGAGAAATCAAATAAGGAACCATGGTTTAAATGGTAGATAAAGTACAGCTGAAGTGATAAGCATCATATGAGAGACAGGAAAGGAAATTAACAAAACAGAAGTTAGTAGGGTAAAAAATATCTGGGTACAAGTCCAACGGTAGGTAAAAATGCTCAGGTCAGGAAGAAAAGAATGAGCTGTTTCATTTTTCAAGAAAGTAAATCCTAGCATAAAGGGCTGCGTATGGCTTTGGAAAAAGATTTGCTCTTCTTTTTCAGTTTCCTTTATAGGGAGAGAATAGAATAGCTGAAAAAGCTGTGAATTACAGAATAAATCATTTTATTATTAAATAATAAGTCAATAGAGATGGATCCTTTTGAGATTGTATAGATGCTCTCCAGAGTATCTGCATGCCACAGCAAGGTTATAAAAGACAACCAGCAGAGATAAGCACATCAGTTCACTGTTTTAAAACCAGTAGAAGCTATTATGATTATTTTTGTTGGCCTCCACTGTAAAATAGGCCTAGACCATCACATGCATTTCTTCATCAGATGAACTCATGCTTGAAAGTTTCTGGGCATTACTGTATGTCATATAATACCTTCACTTGTGTATCTCAAAATGATTTTGAAATTTTCTCTGGTCCCTAATTTAACATGCTGTTTGGAAGAGAAAAAAAGAAAAAAGAAAAAAAGAAAAAAAAAAAGAAAAAAAAAAAAAAAAGAAAAAAAGGAAAAAAGAAAAAAAAAAAAAAAGAAAAAAGATAAAGAGATAGAAAAAATGTATATATATTATTAGATTGCTTGCCTTAGGAGTTTGCAAGAAGATAGGCCCCCAGAGGATACAAAGGAATGTGGAACTGGTGAAACTGAGACAAGGAATTAACCTGACTCTCCCAGTTTACTGTTGATCTTGGTATTTTCCTTTAGGTTTTACTTATTTATTTTTCTTTCTAAAGGTGGACTTCTTAAGTCGATCACTGACTTTTCAGTAAAACAAAAACAAAACAAACAAACAAACAAACAAACAAAAACAGAAACAGTTCTGCTTTTCTCAGCTCTGTATATCGAAGGGGCAAATTGCAGGTCTCCGCACTGGTGACTTCCAGAGTGTATTTCCCACTCTCCTCATAGGACCTCTGTTTCTTATTTCTCTGTTGGTTAATGTTAAACTATTTTGCTATCACAAATCATTCATGCTCATCCTTCTGTAACTTTATGAATCTTCAGCTGCTTCATATATCTTCATTTAAGTAAACTAAAAATAGCTGTTCTGGGATCAGGAAGTAAAATGGATGCTACAATAGTGCTTAGGGTTGTAATAATAATAGAACAACCATCAAAAAAAAACAATAAACAATGACAAAATTGGTAAGTAATAACCATTCTTTTCACTATGTAAAATACACTAAATATACGGTAAATGATGTTATAAACATATATGATATATAACATGATGGATTTTATACATTTTCTGTAGTATTTTATTGAACTCAAGCATTTATTCTCAGACACTTTTTACTTACATATGTATGCATGTACGTAATTACATAAGTAAGTAAATGTGTAATGTGTACACATAGCTAGATTTGATTGCAGAAACCAAAACATTTAAATATCACTAAATTTACATGGGTTACCTTTTAAAATCCAACATTACTTTCCGGATCTCTCACACATGTTCAGGAGCAAATGAATATCTTTAGTAATGTCAGAAACATTTCCAACAGCATACCCACTTACTGTTTCATTGTAACACATTCCACTCCACTAAGGAGTTTAGTACCGATGGTACCGATGTGGTATGTGTTTCACCTGGTTTGAAACTGGAATGGTCTGAAAGGTCCAGTACTGAGACCAATATTGAAGGTAGTAGAGGAAATCCCAAACACAATGTGCATTTTTTTTTTAGCACAATGTTTTGCCTATAGTTAGGGCTAAGAGATGACTACACAAAAGGAGAAGCATCGGGAAGAGTTTTTATGTTTGCTAAATTGATGTTGCTGTACATAGTGTGACATAAGGTTACTTTCACAGGTAGTGTGAAATGGACAGAGCAGAGGAGTTTCAGTGGTTTAATCTGAATAAACTGCAGATTCTGTGAAAGGTTCAGCAAAGTGATAAACAGAACAAGACAAGGAAGGCACTTTGGGGGTAAAATCACAAACAGCAAATTGAGGGCCTGGTCCTTTTGAAATAGATGTGAAGTTTTTCATTGACTTCTGCAGGTTTGGATCAAGCTAACTGCAGGGAAACATAATTTCACTGAGTGTGCTGAAGAAATTCAGAGAGAAGAGAATTCACATGAGCTTCACTGGCACGTGATGACTAGCTCTGGAGATGACCCCCTCAACTCTCACAAAAAATAGGGAAGACTGTAGGAGTCCAAGGCTACAATTTCAGAATGACCCTGTAAACCAAACCTTCCACTAGCCTCATGTGTTATGTACATGAAGTAGTTAAAACAATGCAAATAATCAAAAAAAAAAAAAAAATAAAACAGATTAATGTTTAAATTCAATATTTTACAGTATTAAAAAAAAAAAAAAAAAAAAAGAGAGAGAGAGAGAGAATATAGAGAAAAGTACAGTTTTTAATGCATACTAATTAAAGTGGGAAATTACAAAACATGAATTCACTTACCACTTCATTTACCATGTAACATTATAGATCTGGTAACCTTTACATTCAATAACAAAATCTGTGACTAATTCTTAAAATAAACTGTAAAAACAGAGCAGTTCTTGCTGAAATCTAGCGTATGCCAGAGAAGTTAGTAGAAATAGTTTCCAAGTGATTTTGGAACATATGAAATCCTGTGGGCTTGATCCACAGCTGGTGTAAATGGACATATTTCTTGTGACTTCAAATGAATTATTATCACTATTTATATATTTGTTTTTGCATGTTTGTTTGTTGTTGTTGTTTTTCCCTTGGTTCTATGAATTGATTCTATATTTTTTTTTATTTTTTTTTTTCCAGACAGAGCACTATTTCAAAATAAAATCCATTGTATAGATGAATGCTAAGACATTAAAATAGAGAATTTCCGGATTTTTTGTATATGCTTTGAGCATGGAAGAGCAAGGGTTTGTATAAGGTTCTCCCCAGTACTTTGGAAGACCATGCTGGATTGTTGTAAATACGAGGGGATTAAGAGGGATTTCATAATTCTCCATCCTCTCCTAAATTAATATGTCCCTTCCCTGATGTATAAGGGTTAGACTTAGGCATTTAAGTACTTTCTCTTACTGCAAAGAGGAATATTTTTTTTTAGACAAGCTGTTGTCTCACCTCCCTCACCTTTGCTGTTGTCAGAAGTCCCCAAGTCCATCCCTTTCTCTTTGGGGTACCCACCAAAACCTGTCCCACTTCACAATCAATACTCTTCTTGCATTGCGAATAAATACCAAGTGTGTTTATGATAGGGTAGAAGGCACAGAAGAAATGACAAAATAAGGCAAATTGTATACAAATGAGACAAGATGAATAGAAAATGGGAAAAGCAGGTGCAAAGGTAACATGGCCTTGCACGAATATTGCTCACAACAGAGTTGAGAATATATCAGACCTTCTCAGGTCTTTTTATTTTTTCCACTTTTTTTCTTCCCTCACACCCCAAAGGCATGAAAGCTGTGTAACTTACTCATCAGCAAAGATTGTATCCCATGTTTTTATGCCACATAGACCTTCTTTGTCCAGGAGAAAAACAGGATTTAAGACCATACATCAACATAACTGAGCACTTATTTGAAAACATATATATATATCTTTGCAGTATTCTTCCAGCATATTTTTGATCTACCAGCAATTCTCTTTGTCTCCAAAGACCAAATAGGTCCATCACCATCCTTCTAGGATACTCCTGGGTGGTCCTAAGGTAACAGGAGAGCACAGTTGACTTAAATATTGAATTTTCTCTGAATTTCCTTCTCCTTTATTTGTGCAGAATGTTCTTTGACGGTTTTAAGCTCTAACTCATCTCCTTTGGAGTTAAAATTGGGGATATGTGAATGTATTCCATTTGGGAGATAAATATATATTTTTTTCACTATTATGATTACATTTAAATTGTATAAGGAGAAAGAGGATGTGCAGCCCCTTCCTTAAAGTCCAAGACAAATTCCTACATTAATTACTATGTGAATTAGTTTCTCTGATATGCATTTTTCTATGAACATTCAAGACACAGAGGTTTCCTGCCAGGAATATGTTTATCAAACATTTATTGCAATTAGCAGTAGTAGTTTTAAAGAAGCAAATATTTTCAGATAAATGTGGTTGCTCTTTTACATAGTCAAGAGAACTATATTAAGATTATGAAACTTCTCAAGCCAACTGAAAATAAACACCCTTTTTAAACACCAAAAAAAAAAAATGAGAAGAGAAAGGAGAGGAGAGGAGAGAGAAAAGAAAGGAAAAGGAAAAGGAAAGGAAAGGAAAGGAAAGGAAAGGAAAGACAAGGAAAGGAAGGAAAAGGAAAGGAAAGGAAAGGAAAGGAAAGGAAAGGGAAAGGAAAGGAAAGGACGGAAAGGAAAGGAAAGGAAAGGAAAGGTAAAGGAAAGGCAAAGGAAAGGAAAGGAAGGAAAGAAGAATAAACGAAAAAGAAGAAAAGAAAAGAAAAGAAAAGAAAAGAAAAGAAAAGAAAAGAAAAAAGAAAAGAAAAGAAAAGAAAAGTCTGTCAAATCACTTCAGATAGGAAATAAATCTGAGAAGGCTGTGATCTGCTGGGAAGTAGAAGAAAGCTAATTTGTCAGATAAATGATTTGTTGTGAATTGTTTTGTTATCTCTGTTCAAGGGGAATGAGCCTTGATTCAGGAAAGTGCTGAGCCAGTCCCGTTAGTTGCTAAACAGTCTCAAGTCCCGTTGTGGGAGAATATCCATCTATTTCACATACAGAGTTATTTTGATGAGACATAGTACAATGTCCAGTCCAGAGGAAAAGAAATCTGCATTCTGTTTGCACATGCACCATGGATCTCCTGCACGACCTTGGGCAAATCACTTATCCTCTCTGGACAGCAGTTCCTCCACCTGGAAATTGGGCATGATACTATATTTTTAAAGCTCTTTTGGACCCAGGATGAAAAATTACTAGATGTTATTATTATTATTATATTTCATTGATGACATCTATTACTAACTATGTATTTCACAATGACAGCTATCACAGTATGTATATTTCTGTAATGACAACTATCACAGTACATATATTTCTGTGATGACAACTACCATATTAGGGTGTGTATATTTTTGGAATTAAAGCCATAACACCATATATTGCTCTAAAACTATAGAACTAATTGTCATATACTTTTCACAGATACACAGTCTGTATGTCATTGAATTGTACTTTTTGCTTCATTATATATGTATAGGATATATGTGTATACATAAAGTAAAATATATATTCCACTTTGTTTGACATGGATAAATTATCCTATCCTAACAAAGCACTCTTGTACAAAGCAATCTCTAGCAACTACATGTAGACATACATGTAATATGAAAGACGTTAAATGGCTAACAATTTGGCATGGCTGTATCAATGAAATATTTCACAGCATATATTAGACAGTTAAACATTGCAATCTGCTACGTTGCACTGATATCCAATAAGTAAAAGAAATGCCAAGATCAGTCAGAAGCTAAGGAGGATTTTTCTTCTTTGTTTTCTTGCCAAAATGTATATATATATATTTAAAAGAATATTTATTAAGTAGTCAGCAAAAGAAATCACATCCCTGTAAGATAAAATGGGATTTTTTTTTCTCTCCTAGAAGTTCAGTTCATATTAGGATCATATAATCATATTAGGATTATATCCAGCTGACTGCTAGATAGCAGAATGCATGGTTATGTTTCAAATTAAAATTACTTATACGGTTTTTGTGTAGTTTGTATTAAATAAATAAAAATGGAATTTTTAGTTATTTAATTCAAAAAAAAAAAAACAAAAAACACACAAACAACAACAAAACGGGAAATATATTTCAGCATCAGGTAGCAAATTAATTGACTTGAAAACAGAACAAAGCAAGTTCCACGATAAAGAAAGATTATACTGTCCCACAAGAGAATGTCTTTATATTATGGAAAAGCTCAGAGTTGGAGCCCATTTCAGACCCATGTTTGCAGTTTGAACAAACATTTACATTGTCCAAAATCCAGGTGATAAATGTTCAGCAAAATGAGGCTGAAGCTCCAGGTTTTCTGGACCCTAAAATTAGATTAATTAGATTAATGAGGTAGGGGAAAAAAATTATTATTATTATTATTATTATTATTATTATTATTATTATTATTATTATTATTATTATTATTTGATTTGCCTAAAGGCATGAAATATGATCATTTTTAAGCCTACTTTCATTCATCTATGTTTAACAACATTGATTTTTTGGGCTTTCAGCTCTGCATAACAATCTGGTTAGTCAAAGACTTTCAAAACAGAACTTCTTCCAAATATCCAAGGTATTAATGTCATTTACTTTAATCTTAACAGGTCTGAAATCTCTTTGAAAACTACACTCTCATCCAATGTCTAGTTATTTTTGCTAATGACCTCCACTGTCTGAGGTGCCAGTACTCCAATGCAATACTAAGCTCATGCCCAAACAAGAGCTGTGACAGGATGAGGACTTTGAGATTCCATTTCCTGAAATAGTCTGCATGCAGCTATGGCTTTCTGTTTGAGAACTTATGAAGCAGGCTACCTCTGTTAAGCAGCTTGGCTCATATCTTTGAAAGTAGTTTGGGACTTTACTATCTGTTCCCACTTCTGCCTGTTGAAGACAGAATTGTATGGTTATATGGCAGCAATACAACTTTAGTTGTGCGTACATGGGTGCTGCACTAGTGTTCCCAGTGATATCCTCCCAACACTGCCTCTTAAATATTGAAACCAATATAATTAACCAAATGACTGCCTTCTGCTCACAGATGCGAAGAAAAACCTGGCTGGATTCTGAAGAAAAGTATTACCCTTCTGTTGTACCCATAAGAAAAAAGCATGTTTCACCCAAGGCACTGACTTGTACTTATTAGTATTAGTTCCAGAACCACTGCTAAGTCAAGTATTTTGAGATGCTAGTCCATGAATAATAATGCCAGAGAAGTACAATAATTAATAGAACATGAGGATATTCCCTAAAGAGCACAAGCAGCATTGCAAGAGGTATGAATGCTTCTCCTTTGAAATTTGTCTGCTACGGCCTCTTGAACTTTGATTTTGAAAGGTGGGGAAGAGGTAAAATGAATTACACTTCATTAGCAATGTTGAGGAAGATGGAGCCCTTCCTTCTCTGGTGAAACAGCTTTTAATTGTTAAATTCCCAGAATTCCCCAGTGCACATCAAGCTGGATTCACTCTTGTGCTCTGGCTGAGCACAGGTGATGGTTTTCATTAGCCACTCTTTCTCTTGACCCTGATGTCATCATTGTTATTGTTATTTATTAATTTAAAGTGCCTCATTCTCCCTGGATTGGAGGCGTTTCATGCAAAACGCATATCCACTAAGCAAATATTAGCATAATGATAGCAAAACAAACTTTTCAAGAATGTTTT